AGGCAGAGTATTAGAGCTAAAGCCAAGAATTTCGAGGCGTTGCCATCCGACTTGAAACCAAATTGTGCGCAGACAAGTTTGTCACAAATTAAACACGTTTTTCCACAGAACTAATGAATAACCAAAATGGTACTATGCGCCAGCAGTCAGTTAAGCTAAGTACTTGAACGCCGCCAACCAGACTCTTAACTGCTAATATCGCGCAGCTTGTTCGTTTGCTCTTGTATCATCACTTATATATACTAGCAACAGTTGCAGAAACTGCAGCAGCAACAACAACAGTTTCATGCAAAATTAATACAATTAGCAACTTGTAAATTTTTAATATCTATCATCGCGATATTACAGTTTACATTGCCATTGCAACTATGTAGCCAAGCGACTACAAAGCCATTCTGTCAGTTTAATGTAACTTAAGCGCCGTTCTGGGCGTTGGCAGAGGAACAGGCGGAGGCAATAGCACTCCGAAGTGTTAATTGAACAACGTCCATGCTATGTTAAATCATATTTTATCGAAGAGCGCAACATTTTGTAATTACGCAGATCTAATGCAATTTCGATAATTGCTAGAAATTTATGAACATTTTTCTCTGGAAAGTTTCAGAATCCAAGACTTGTTACTTTTCTGCGTCGCAGTGCGTAACTACACAGTGGTCAATGCTTCATACAGGAAAACCTGAACGAACACATTAATTATTTACAGTGTCAGAGCAGTTTTTCTTGATAAAGAGTTAAAGTACGACGTGTGAACACATTAAATGGAGTCAAGTAATACAATATACCAGAAATACAAAAAGAAATATGATAATCCAGTTAATCGTTGGGAAACTGTTATAAGAACAATAATCCCTGAAGGTATATATTATGTTACTATACAGTATAAAACATTATTTAACAGGAAAAATTTAATAATATACATGATAGTCTTTATGGAAGACTGAGAAAAAAAATGCACACATGACACAGTAGGTGACCTAATGAAACTGGTAAGCATAATTGGACAGTCATTGCATTATATAGCGAATCAAATGCATTTGTTATGGAAATAGTGATAATAACTGGATAAGACACTATTGCTCTATAAATATAAATAAATTACTTTAAAATAGTCAGATGCTCTAATGTTACTATGGGTTTGCACTGTAGTATTACATTGCCGAACTGACATTACCTAACCAAGATATCACATTGAGAGTAATGACTTGCAAAATGGTACTTAAGATTAATGCTCAAAATCGCATGACATCAAGAATATGTCTTGTTCTTCTTCTATGTTTGATGAAACTTAAGTTAATGTCTAGAGCACTTTTACTTAATAGTGTTTGTGATCACTTGGTTGATCCACTGTAACTAGTGTTTTATTGAAAAATGATTAAAAAGGTAATTTAATAAAGGAAGAATTTGAAGTCCAGCATATTTTTGAAACGGAATATATATTTTATTTGTTTTAAAAGAAAAACATTTTAGCGTGCTGTCTTTTGATATATTTTTGCACTCTAGGGATGCTTAACTTCTTGTTTATCTCTTCACTCTTAATATATCATGGAGCGTATAGCTAATGGTGGATAAAGACACACAAGCATAAAATAGTTTAGGTCAAAATTCTTTCTTATAAAGTAAAGTTTTATCTTTCATGCTGAATTATCCTTATGTTGATAGTTTCAGAGCATTTATAATTCTATTACAATTCGGTTTTTAGATCCTTATGTGTGTGTGACACTCAGTACTGAGTGGTGGCATGTATATTTTAAATATATTTTGTGGCTCCATTGCATCATTGCTGCATTAGCTCATTCGGTTGTACTGCACATCCTAAGTACATTTCAGCACGCTTTTTGTTGCAAGTTTAGATTTGTTAGATTATTATTTAGTGAGAACATTAAGTCGTGTTTAATATATTTAATTTCAAGATAATTTTAAAATATATATATTATTAAAAAAAATTTAAATATTTAAATTTTAATATATAAAAATATATATAATTATTATATATAAATATTTTAATATTTTTTTAAAACTATTTTAATTCCAGAATCGGGTTACTAGCACTCTGTACTATGTAAATGCTTTTAAGTTAATTTCATTACTTATTTACTAACTTGAAAGAATTTTTATTGAAGTTCCTATAGTCCTTTTTATAGAATATACTTGATATACGACAAAAGCATAAACAGTTTACCTACGTCGTTAAAATGAATCTTGTTTGAAGAATTCAAATATCTCTGCTCGTACCAGAGTTAGTCATTGGAATTAAACAGAAATGCCCAATTAACTTGCCACATTAAAGTAAATAGCAAAAAATGATGACAAGACATAGCAAGTTGGTTTTAGTACAATCTTATGTGTAAAAATATATGAACAACATCCATTAGCTAGGCCACAACTATGCCTGAAATTACTCTGACCAAGCCAATAAGCTGAAATATTTCGCAGAGATCATACGTAGAGTATGTGTGAGCCTGAATTTGATATGTAGTCTCATTAGACTACATAAAAGTCAAATTATCAATTATAATTGTTTGCGCAATTTCAATTCAATTTACATACAAACGATTTATCGCAAAATGCCGCTTCCAAAAGCTATGCGGCTGAATTTTTCCATCACTGTACACTTGTAGCGTAGGATGAAGTGTTCATGTTGGCAACTGCGTGTTGATGGTTGTAAGCAACATCGATATTAAGGTGCTGCCATTGATGGATTCCTTGTCTGTAGTATGTCGCTTCAAGTGTTGATTATTTCTGCTCGAGGGAATAGCGTATTCTACCTGCAGCGAATGAAGCCCTGACAGTCATGAAGATTCCAGCACAGAGTGTACGGATAATTCTCACCTCGCTCACCTCACTCACCGGTACAGTAGCGTGAAGTTGCACGTATCACGTCGCATGTGGAAACGCCTTGGCGTTTGCGTTGCATGTGTTGCATTATTAGTTACGGCGCTTGAACGCATTTTCGTCGCTTTATTTACCTCTTCACGTGAGCATTGTGTGTAGCTAGAGTCATAGTCGTACTTATAGTCTTACTGGAACCAGATAAATTTTTTTTAATTTTTCCATTATTTGTGCTTGAATTTTTTGTTAAACATTTTTAAATTTTAATTGACTTTGTACTGAGTTTGCGCATGTAATTATGCGAAACATAGGCTTTCCGACATTATATATGCAAAACGCTTTCATCTTCCTTAAGCTGCTGCATTGGCCTGCCTTATCAAGACCATGTGGCGTCAATTTTCTTTCAATTTAATTTCCATTTTCTGCTTTTATGTCATGAAATTGAAACGATGTTCATATTTATTTCGCAATTAACTCGCTTTGCACATATGTTAATTCCTGCTTATGGAAGCATAACTAATCTGAGCTAAACCAAACCAAATTAGTTACAATTTGTTCTAACGTTCCATTGTGTTAGACATACCATAGCTTTTGCAATAATTAACGGCTTTGATATGCCAGCATCGATTCATGTGATTTTAATAAGAATTATATTCATAAATATTTATTACGTCTAGATTACCTACATGTATGTTAAGTACATATACTAAATCTAGTTGTCCGCACAAATACTAAGTTGCCTTTGAGGTTCCGGTTTTCTATTTAAAATTCTCTTATTTAATTAAGTACTCCCACTTCTGCTGCTGAAAAAAATCATTGAGCTGAGAGATAATTGCTATTCAATGAATATTATAATATGCTTAGTAAGTACTTTCATATTTCATATTACGTCATATAAACAATCTCAGAGCAATAGTAAATTAGATGTAGATACATCGATGCTTAAATAATATTATGTACTGTGCTTTCTCTTATTTATAATATTAAAGGTGTGTATGTACATGTATTTAAAATTTATAGTGACGAAGTTTCTTATCAAAACAGTATAAATTTAAACTTCAATAAAATTGTAATTAAATATGTACTATATACTAATATATTCACAGTAGCAATACTTCGAATGAAAAAAAATGGGTTTTTCTCTTCTCATGGTGACATTGAAAATTCATCGCCAAAAGCTTATCTAATGGAAACTGTATATATAGTGAGTCAAATTATATATTAAAGAATCATATAATTAATTGTTTATAAAAATAATGATTTCTTAATCAAACTATTAAACGAATGAAATAAATTTTTGTTTATAATTCGGATGTTCATTGGTACGCTGAATAGTTTTTTGGCTGATGTAGAACTGATAATTCAGAAAAACAACTTTACTTAAGCGTTCCAAAGAACTTTTATGAAATATTCGTTGAAGTTGTAGAGATACAGCGCTCTTTTTGAAATAGCAATAAACATTGTCATACATAATTTTCTGTCAAGAAGTATTCCCACAAGCAAATGAATTTCTCATAGGTACCCTTGTATAATTTATTGGTACAACAAATTTAATAGCCATTATAAAAATTCCTGATACCAAGAGGTAGAGAAAAGTGTAATTGTTAAATTTACAATGCTTTGAAAAATGTCTTTTTTTTTACAAAAAGCACACAATTTATTTCTCATCAAAAGTATATTTATACATATACATATACCTATAATAGTTATTTTATAAATTTTGATAAATTGATTCAAAATTATTATTTTATTTGCATTCATTTATTTTATCACATAAAATCATTCTCAGAATTTTGATTGTTATTTCTACTCAAAACTTCAATAATTACAAATATTTAACATACAAGTATGAGTAGTGACTAATGGCAAAACCTAACATTACGATTTGATAAAAATTAAGTATCGTTTTCTAAACAAATCTAATGCATTTCTCCATTAGAGTCATATAAAAAGACAGAGAGGGAAAATTTATGTAGTAGTAGAATTAACAAAATATAAAAAAAATTGTTTGTTGACGGTCCCTTCAATGCCAGTTGAAGAGAATGTTTGTCATTATCAGTTTTAAAGAGAGCCAATAAGTTTTTGTTTATTCTATTTGACTCAAGATATGAATGAAAATCATATATGCGAAGTTCTCAGAGTTTTTTGGTTTAGCTTTGGTTCATCTGGTGGGCGCAATTGTTCATAGTCGGTCACGTACGTAGTCATTGAACGGATGTATTATGTTATGAGTTTTGCGCAAAATTTTATAATAAAACGGGCTTCCACCTTAGATGTACGATAAGAAAAAAACATATATATTATTATTGAACATTTTATTAAATATGTAAATGAGACAATTATATATATATTAAAAGTATATAAAGTAGTCTTCACATTATAGATCAGCATTAATACGCTTTTTTAAAAATTTTAATAAATTTGATCCACGAAAATTTAACATTGCAGTTATACAAATAATGAGTGAAGCCGCAGAAGAGTTTCTACCTGGCATAGCATTCATAATAAATCAGAGCTTTAATCGACCATTTAGCAAGCAAGATGTTAATTTATTGACTAGAACCTTTCAACCGTTTAATATCACGGTTGTCAATTGGTCGGATAAAAATCTTAATGAAATCAAACAAAGTATGAAAGCATGTAAGTACATTATTTTTAAAGTAAATTGTTTTAGAATTTGTAAGAGATACTCTTTTTTTTTCATACAATATCCTTTATTATAACTGTTGATTTATATAAGTTAAAGTATTGAAGAAAGTATATGATATATACATTTAACTCACTTGAAGTAAAATGTAACATCAACAAAATATCTTACATTATGAGCCACATTTGTGTTGTAAAATGATATATATTTTAAAATTTTTTTTTTCTTAAAAGAATCACAGAAAATATTTTATATTCATATTAAACTAATTTTTAACGTCCATTTTAAAGAAAAAACAAAATTCTTACAATAAACTACTTCCTATTACTTACTACATATTACATATAACTGTTAAAGTTACTGTTTTCAATAGAGAGGAACAGTAGTAAATCACAACAATAAAAATGTATTAATTAATTATTAATTTAATTTTTTGACTAATCATACAATTGTTTCGAGTATTGCCAAATAATACCTATCATCAGTGGTATCGGAATTATTTCTTGTATTTAATTGTTCAAAAATCATTTTTTGAGACTGTAAGTATCAAGAATTGGACTCGTAGCCTGCAAGTTTGAAGCTCAAAGCCGTACTTGTTTGTTAAAACTTGGAATTTTGTCATAATCATAAATGTCTTAGTCATAAATCTATTTATGATAATAGTCATAAAAAATAATATTTTAAAATATATTTTTTAAATGTACATTACAGGAATCATGAAATTATAATTTGTATTGTAGATTGATAAAAATAGGTAATAATATAGATAAAAACGTAAAGAATATGTATTGTAATTTTTTACTATACGCATTTTCACTATACGTTGTCACGAGGCGAATTAATTAAAACCAATTAAGTTCCTACAAATTCTCACCATAAAAGTAATATCATATATATAGTTCTTTTATCTGAAGCTTATTTCTGTAATAATTATTATGATTTTTATAGAGTTTCTTCCCTTAGCTGTACAATTGAACATTGGAAAAATATGAATTTAGTTACCCGGAAATTGTGGTTTAACTTAAGAAAGCAATTCATTCACTTCATCAATATAGAAAGGTTTGTATGCAATACTGCATATAGATCATATAATCATATAAATCGTATATGAACAGTATGTGTGATTATACTGTTTCATTTGGTCACTTCAATACAAATCACAATTCTATCGCTTTACTTTACTCTATAATTACATATCGAGTTAATTTTTTGGTATGAATTTACCATTATACTCGTAAGTCTACGTCATTTAATATATTAAACAACGATTTTCTTTTCTTGTCTCTTACCATATTCTCCAACGAATATTGGCTTACTATCCCGGTATTATTTACATTTTTATTTGACTTTATGACGTATATTTTCAAAAATTCTCCTACTTAACATATTATAATTATTTATTTGGACTTATTCCGACTGCTTTAATTTTCTAGTATTATTGATCCTTTTATTTGACATTATATCTTATTATATGGTATTGACTTCTACCGAAAGATAGTGACCCAAAATAGTGACCCAAAATAGTGACCCATTCTACCTCTAAGTATAACATTTGTCTGGTAATAAATGAACAAATATTTTGAGTGCTACTTATCAAAAGTGACAATATACTTATAGTATGTCTCTAAATAGGACTGATTTACATAAATACTGTTTTGAATGTAATTAATATTAATACAATTAGTATTTATGCATATATACTAATACTTATTATTGAAGTACGTGTAAAAAATATATACTACGGAAATTGAAAAAAAATTGATTGATTATTAAAAAAAATTGGTTATCAATAATGGGAATAAACGTAATACCCAGTAAGCTAATGAGTTGTTATCTATTCTTATATATAACACTTCTTAGAAAACAAAATTCGTTAAAATCGCTTATTATTAATCTCCTTTCCAGGAGATTAATTCTATTATTTAACTATTTCTACGTAACATTTTTTTCGATTTGCATTAGACCTAGTGTTAAATGGTTAAAGGTAATTTAAAGGCTTAAATAATTAAAGGAGCACAACTGATCTTTATAATTTAGATTCACATTATAAATCGTACCTTTTTCCATTTTGTGTTGCACAACTTCACTGCAGGCCTCTGCAAATATAAGAAGATGCCAAGATTTTATTGAATTAACTTCATTATAATATTATATACATATATATTATATTATGTTTAAGTTCAAATATTAATCATGTCCTCATAATTATAATTCAATTTTTTTTTCATTCTAATTTTGATTCCAATTTCTTATAATTTTTTAAAACTAAAGTGAAAAAGGATTGGAAAGAGAAGTACAATCATTTTGAATATGTTATTATGGTGCATTTATCACATGGCCATTGTGATGAGACAGTATTATATCAAACAGAAAATGCTGAAGTCCATGAACTCGTTTCCATACAAAAACTTTTGCTTAATCCACTCTTTAAAATTGAAGAACTAAATGGAAAATTAAAGTGGTTGATTGTACAAGCTTGCAAAGGTAATGATGAATTTGCAGATGCAAAAACTGAAGGTGGTACCATCTCATTAGCTCGGCAGAAATACTTTACAGATTATTTTCTTAAGTCTTTTTCAACATCTGAAGGTAAATAGTATGCAAATTTTTCAAATAGAACATTGTGATTTGTTGTTATTAGCGATTTTTTTTATTATATTACTTTGTTTAACTCTATTAGGTGGTGTCTCTCGCCGTTTCTATCTTACTGGCGCATATTTTATTAATAGATTTTGTGAACAATTTACTGCTAATGCTGAAAGAAAAGGAGTTCTGGAAATAATGGAAGACACTGGCGCCGAATTGAGAAATTATTTAAGAAAAGATTTAACGGAGACTCTTCAGTTACAGCAACCCGCAGAAAACCATAGAAATTTTCCAGGCGATTTCTATCTAGCACGACGTTTATCTCACAAGAACTTCCAAATTTAACGTTTAAATTAAATTAAATAAAAAGTCAGAAAAACAAGCATTGTTAGTGATTAACATTTAAAAAAATGTATAAAATTAATTTTTAAATTAAAACAATAAATTTCTTTACATAAAAAAAACTTAAATGTATACAACGAATTCACAAGAAAATCCATATAAAGTATTTATCAGCATCAGCATATAAAGTATTTATTAATTTATTAATTTTAATTTATATTTCTTACGGTTTCGTCTCTCCTTGACTGTATAACAAATTAATACTCATTGCATGAGTATGTATATCCACATATAATTTTATTGTTGAATATTCACATATGTGCATATCGCGAAACCCATTAAAATATTTCTGTTTTATTTCTATTAACCACGGTGTATGCTCTGATCTCGAACGAGCGATGCTTCCCGGTCTCTGACAACATTTTTTTAATATTAAATATCGTATAAAATATAGAAATATAAACACAGGCGTAAATTACGTCAGAAAATATTTTTTAAGTAAATAATTTTTATGTGGAACCATTCGTAAATATTTTTCACATGTAGATATGTATTTCAAAAAACTTACATTATTACTGGGTAACTAAAAAATTTTACAAATAATAATAATTATTTGCAAACGAATAAAGAAGAGCTACCTACTGTAAGTATTGTTATCGGTTCTTCTAAATAATATTTATGTTTTGAAAATTCTGATAAAGAGGACTCCACATCTTTTAATTTTGGAGCATTCATGGATAAATCAGGTTTGCAGGTCAATAAGGAGTGATCTAATTGACAATTCTATAATTTAACCATGTTGTAACTACATACGTACATATGTATTATCAATATTATATTATTAATGTTATGTATATAGTACACCACAATGAAACCGAAAAATTATATATAATAATAAAATTAGTAATCTCATGAAAATTACATAGTTAAAGAACTGCTTGGAAAATTGAGAAAAATACTGATTAAAGATATTATTTTAGTCCAAAACTTAAGACTTAAATTTTTCCATCAATTATAAATACTGCACATTTAATATAAATAGAACTTTTAGAAATATAGTTTGACTCACATATCACAGATTTTAGTTGTAAACTACAATAGCGATATTTTTTGTAAAAAAAATTCAAAACCCGATAAGGATCTAGACAAAGCAAATTTCAGTTGACCATATAATTTATACAACTTAAGCTAAAAATATATAATAGAAATACAAATTATTTGGTGAAACCCTTTTTTTTTGAAAAAACAGATTTTTTTTTGAGTTCGCTTATCAAAATAAGGGCAAAGGAATTAATTGAAGACAGTATTCTTCAATTCAAAGAGGATCCTCTTCAAAGTATACGTTACTAATATTCAAACGAAATAATTTTTTATAAGAACACTGCTGCAAGTCCTTATATTTTGTATATCTATATTCCTGAATATCCTGAACATTTTTTAAAAGCGTAAAGCCAATGCTTCAGAATTTGACTGAAGTTCCTATATACGCAATTAGTTCAGACACTAGTCCTTAGTTTGGTTATTAGTCCATAAACGAAACAATTTTCATGTGACTTATTTCAGAACATTTTTTTTGGTCATAGATACAAAGATATTAAGTTTTAACAAAGAATTTTTTAAAACAATATAAAAATTAAAAATATGTATTAAATTAATTGTATGTGCACCATATTTAAAACGACTTATTGAGCTGTAAAAGATGCGTAGGAGCTCAGTCAAGGAGCGTATCATTCCTTATTGTGCTCAGACCATTTAGTAGCCCAGAAATTACATATGTATGATTGCACTAAATGCATAAATTGAGAACCAAATTATTTTGGAGGCATTTTCCTTAAAGGATTTGTTTGCTGGATTCTATAAAATAAATTTTAATTTATCTGAAATCATTTTTGTTAATAAAATTAAAGCACTTACGATTTGAGTCATGTTGCTTTTCTTAGCACTTCAACAGTTTAATTAAACAAAGTAGCTGTACGTTAGACTTCTTATATATACTCGCAATCTATTAGATATTTAATTGATTATTATGAAATACTGAACTAATTTATTTAGAAATTGGTTCCGCTACTATTTCTAAATAAATTTCTAATTAAGTTTTAAATTAAAGTATTTTAACTTCCCGCATTATAATTTAAATTTCCGATCATATATTTTTAATTAAATTTTACTATCAATGAAAACTAAAAATTTACCGTACCGAAATACGAGTCTGTCATACTCGTATTTGAAGCATTTTAGAAATATTTAAAACAAAACAGTTTTAAGTATTTTTTCATCACTATAGGTGAGATTTAGGTCTACTGCCTCGATTTCGAATCAAAACAAGAGGGTACGGGTTAAGTGAATCTAGCTGTTCAACACTGAAATGACCTCATGACTGTTAAACGGTTAAAAGGATGTTAGCGTCAGTGATTTAATCTACGAAAGATATCTTGCTAGATGACCTACAAACTGGTGATATAATAAACTTAGATTACTGCAACATTTTGGATAAAAATTTTTGAAAAAATAATTGGTTTGCGAAAGAAAAGTAATTATTTCATTTTAATAAAATAATTTAATAATTATTTATATGTATATCTAATATCAATGCATAAACGTTCAAATTATTGCAAAAACTAGAAACCTATTTGCCGCATTTGGTTGCCTGTGACTTTAAGCTCTTCTTACACATCAAAATAACTTTTCAGTCGAAAGTGATTTTAATCAAACAAAGATCTGATAGCGGTCAAAGAGGGTTATTTAGCAGATCTTCCGGAAAACTATTACATAGTTGAAAACCATAAAATGGAAGACCTTTGGAATAAGTATATTGAAGTTTATATATTGAAAGACAAAAACATTTTAACAAATAAAACTTATTTTTTTTAATTCTTTGTTTTTGAATTTAACCGATTTTGGAACCGATTTGGAAAAATCTTAATAAAAGGCACAAACTAACTGCTGTAATTTGGCCGATTGACTTTTGCTTCAACAACAAAAATACTTAAGAGGAATTAAGCTTTAGACGCCTGTCACATGGGAAATTGGTAGTTGATATATGATATATTAATTCTAATTACTTAATAAGTTTGGAAGATGCGATCTTTTTAAAGTGACGTACAGAAAATTATTTCTGAACTGTTGTAGAATATGATACTGTTAAATATTAATTATTAATTTAAAGTTGAAAATATAAGATTATTTAATAGAAGTTAGAAATATTCTCTATTTCCAAACTTTTTTAAGATGCATGAAAATGATATTGGTCCAATAAGATGACATTCCTCAAATGATAGTATCGTCGAGATTCATGATATAAAAAATGATGCAATCTTTGTTAGAAAAATCATGACTATTATTTATCATAAGTAACAAGTGCCAGACGAAACGATTAATTTGTTGTTTACTACAGCAATTACTTAGAACTGTTGACTGATTACAGCCTTAAACGAATCTCCATATATTCTATGTTCCATGTATTTTGATATAGCAGATATTCTCGTTAAGTTGGGTACGCAACTACTATTAAATAACAAAATTGACTTTGATATGGCAATCCGACAAGGATATAACAATCCAATTATTTCTATTAAGAATACAAAATATACAGATGGTAAGGATATAACACTGTAATATAACCAAAACCACATATTAAACTTCTAAGATATAATTGATCTATTTTATTTTTTCTCTATCTAGAAAAAACTTCAAAATATTGATTGGTACTATAACAGCACATAGTGTCCTGAAGGCACACGCTTATAAAGTGGGCTTGTTGGAAAACGACATCTGCAGGAAATGCAACATATCTGAACTAGAACAAACTTGAGATTAAGTGCTTGTATATGTCAGCTATCGAACAACACGTCATAAAAGGATTTGGTATTTCACAATGTCACAATGTCACAACTTAAAGGAAAAAGCCAAGCAGAATTCTGGAACGATCGCAGAAGACACTAAATTATTCTGCCAATATGTGTATACCAATTGCCAAAATGTTGAACTATGAAAACCTATTGAATACTAGCTAAACTAGTTTGCGTAACTGGTATTGCAAACCCCCAAAGGGTATGCACGCTGTATCTTATTTGAAATCACTTACATAAATGGAATCATATATCTTTCAACCTACCTTTGGTTGATACAGTTTATTCAAGTTTCAAGTTTTAAATATAGATCAAAATAAAATATATTAAGAAAATCTTTAAATTATTTGTCAATTATGTAAAATAATTTAGATTATTACGTTTTATAAGAACATTTGTAATTTGAGACAAATAAGAGAGAATTAAACATTAAAATAATGCATTTAAAAAGAAGAAAGTAAACAAACTCTCATCATTAATTTTATTTAGATAATGATATTGTTATTAGGAGAAAATACTTCAAAATACGTTACAGTGCTTCCATGTTCGGTGTATAGATATTTATTATTTATTTTCTATTATACAGCAAAAATATAGTTTATAATATTTCCATGTATTATGCTTTCATGTACTTTCGAATTGAACATATCAGTCTACATATAAATTTCTTCACAATACCTTAACTTCTTCACTCATGCAGTCAGTGCTCAACTTAGACTTATCGGTATCTAAGTTATTAAATTTTGTGCCCTCTTGCCAGATTATTGTATGGTTTGGGTTCAACTAACTTAAATTCTACTTTGTGAAAGGGCTAGCTTCTTCAGTTATTAAACGCTGATTATATCACTAATAGTAAAAATAATAAACTCTCATCAATTGTGAGGGTCTCCTATAGTTTTCATATTAGCTGTAGTTAGGCTGGCTTAAAAAAATATTAAATTTTAATAATCAACATGAAAATCTCCTGAAATAATGAACTTACCATCTCAAAAAAATTGCGACTCACATTTTTTTGTTAAATTTAATAAAATAAATCGTAAATTCAGGCTGCTGTCACTTTCGCCTACTGCCTGCAACATTTTCAATTCAGAAAATGTCACAACACAATGTCAGCGAGAAGTTGCATTGCATTATGCGTTGTTGCCACCTTTTTGCTTTGCTCGCTGTTGTAATTAAATGAGGTGTGAAACCATAAATGGCCAAGCAAGCTGCCACGGCCGG